AGTCTGTGATCAGGAGAGGTCGACAGGATCAGGTATCAGGCATCAGAAGACCCAAAACAAACAATTATATTGATGCAAGTGAGGGGGGTTGGAGTGGAGACCCAAAGCTCATCTGTAGAGAGTTGGACATCCCCTTACAGTAGGGTCACAAGGAAGGAACGAGTCAGCCACGGTGTAGTATAGCACTGACAAAACACACATTCCTCTAGATTTTTAATGTTTCTCCCACCCCCACCCCCACTGTTATGACCCCAGTTCTACCTTACAAATCCAGCTAGACAGGAACATGTGCACTGGTACAGATAGGAGCTCTTGACACATGGAATCCAGGATCCCTCAGGAACAGTAATGGGAGTAGTGATACCTTGAGGGTAGGGGAACGTAGGGAGAGTGGGGGAAACAATCACAATGATTGACGTTTAACCCCACTCCCTAGGGGGACAAACAACAGAAACATGGGTGAAAGGAGACAGCAAATGGTGTACGATATGAAATTAATAATCATTTATAATTTATCAAGGGGTCACGAAGGTGGGAAGATGGGGGAGGGAGGGAAAAAAAAGAGGAGCTGATACCAAGGGCTCAAGTAGAAAGAAAACGTTTCGAAAACGATGATGGCAACATAGGTACAAATGCGCTTGATTCAATTGATGTACGGATTGTTATAAGAGCTGTAAGAGCCCCCAATAAAATGCTTTACAAAATTGGAAGAAAAAAAAAGATTTACATCCTCGGAAAGCCTATGTCAGGTCCCTGTGAGTCAGAATCACTTCAATGGCAGTGGGTTTGGGGTGGTGAAGACAGGAACCGGAGTCACAGCAAATAGAACCTAGCATGTTTCAGACACGGGTACTTGGTTGTTGGGTGCCCTCCAGTCTGTCCCAGCTTTTACTGAACCTGCGTCCAACAGAACGAAACACGGCCCGGTCCTGTGTCGTCCTGACAATTGTTGTTCGGTTTGAGGTCACTGCCGATCCATCTCCTTGATGGCCTTCCTCTTTTTGGGCTGACCCAACGCTTTCTATGTGTTAACTCTTAATTCTCAGAACAATCCTAGGAGAAAGTTATGGTTATCCATGCTTGTGCCTTCCAGTCAGTTATCCGTAGTCTCCTTCTAACACACAGCAATGTGTCTGGGTTTTAAAAGGGGATTGTGCTCATCCATTAATCTAAAGGTTGGCTGTTCAAACCCACCCAGAGGCACCATGAAGGAAAGGCCTAGTGAATGAGTTCCATAAAGTGGGGGGGGGGGGGCAATGCTGCTTTGTAATTCACGGGGTTGCCAGGGATCAGACCCCACCCCCACCCCCCAGGGCGATGGTTTGCTTTATGGTGTTCACATAACAGGAAACTGAGGCACGGGGACTCTTGAGTAACTTGTCCAAGATCAGCCCCTCTATTCTTTTTCTCCGTGTTGAAAACAAGTCTTCCTTTAAAAGGTGGGGGTAGAGTCACGTGACAACGGGCGGCGGTCATTCCTCCCGCAGGGCCCCCCAACCAGGCTGCCCCGCCTTCATCATCGTCAAGCTGAGCCCGCTACGGGACCGCCTCGTGGTGACAGAGTGCCAGCTGACCCACTCGCACCCCGCCTGCCCAGTTGAGTTTGCCTACTACTTCCGGCCGGGCCATCTGCTGGCCAACGCTTGCCTGCCCGTGCGCACCACCAACAAGATCTCCAAGCAGTTCATGGCCCCGGCCGACGTGCGGCGTCTGCTCACCTGCTGCAAGGGTCAAGACCACGGTGTCCTGGATGCCCTGCACGTGCTGGAGGGGCTCTTCCACACCGACCCCGAGGCCAAGGTGGGGTCTCCGGAGAGGCCAGACAGGGTGGGGGAAACAAACCTGTTGGAGGTCCACCCATCCATCCATCCATCCATCCATCTGACCACTTTACTCTCACTCATGTATCCACTCACCCATCCATTCCATCGATCCACCCAGCTCATTCATATACTCTTTCATTCATCCCTCAGCTCTGTCCACACATCCCTCTACTCCTTTGATCCATCCACTTATCTAATTCATGCATTCATCCACTCATCCATCTACTTCATTCATCCATCCATCCATTCCTTAGGAATTCACCCACTCATCCATATACTCCATTCATTCATCCCTCCACTCCATTCTCTCATCTACCTGTCTACTCCTCCCTCTTTCCTTTTATTTATTCACTCCTCTCCTTCATCCATCTGTCCACTCATCTATCCATCCATTCATTCATACATCCATGCATTCCTTTCATTCCTCCTTCCACTCCATCCATGTATTCCATTCATTCTCCACTCATCTATCCATCCATTCATTCATTCATCCATG